ACAAATACATAAATATAGGATCATTATGTTTACAGTTATAATTCATAATCCCATCTATTCATTTTCAGTTCCAGTTATTTGCAGGTGACCATAGAGATGGATATCAACATAACAAAGCAGTCATAGTAGAACAAAACAGTAAACATTTCATAACTTTTCTATTAACATGTGATTCATATGGGAGTCTATACATAGATGTTTCCTGTTTACCTGCAGGTGACCACAGAGATAGAGATGCCCTTGGAGCAGGCCTCTGCGTCCATGTAACACTTGTTGTAGTAGGTCATACCGTCTGAGGCGCATGTGAAGTGGGGCTCTCTCTCACAGCGGTCCCGGCACTTACACACGGGCTGGCCCTCCCAGATGTCACACTCGGAGCCCTGCTGCGTACACATTAACTTGTCACATGTGACCCCGGTTGGCATGCCAACCGGCCCCTTCTTGCCCTTAATGTCCATGTAGCGTGCCGCCACACAGCTCTTGTTCCCACACACGTTGTTGCAGCATTTCTCAAATGTTTCACAGTCCTTGGGAGTGATAGGGGATACATGGGAGGTGTTATGTTAGGATCAGCATGTTTCAGTTCATTGTGCACTCAGGGAACATATAGGATGTTAAGGAACATGAGAGTGATGCATTTTCTAATGTAATGAAACAATACTATGCAATGTGAGTTTGGTATTGTTGCCTATCATTTTCACTTGCTTACTTCTCAATATCTCATAATGCAGAGTAATAAAAGTTATTAGAGTCAATAGTCATGGGTGGCAAGTAGCCTATCGGTTAAGAGTGTTGGGTTAGTAACTGAAAGGTTGCTGGTTTGAACTACTGAGCTGACTAGGTGAAAAATCTGTTGATGTGCCCTTGAGCAAGGCACTTAACTGTAATTGCTCCTGTAAGTCACTCTGGATAAGAGTGTCTGCTAAATGACAACAAATGTAATATTGTGGGCATATACACCAGTGTCTGCTATTTCCAATAACTGTAGTCTATGAACAAAATATCTGATTGAAGGAGATATTCAATCTAATTCAAAGAGAAATGCATAAATAAACAACAGAGGCAATGTGGTCACCATGGAATTTAATGACCAAAAACAGTGCGCATGTTCCACTTTTCATTCCATGAATAAAATTGCAGAAACTTTATGTAGAGAAACTTTTTACAGAATAAAGTGTCCCCTATTTGTCTCCAGCCCACGAGGAAAACTGGTCCCACAAACTCACCCGGTCAAACTCGCACTCGCGCATGCAGGTGCTCATGGCGTCCACCCACAGGTTGGGGTTCATCTCGTTGGGGCACATGCCCGCGTGAGAGTACACCACTTTGTTGGGCATGGACATTGGCATCGCTTTCACCTTCACACAGCTGTCTATTACCAGGAGAAAGATGTAGCACTGTCCGAAGAGAAACCAGATCCATCGGGGAAACAACATCCACCACATATCCAGCGCGTAATGGGACTTTCACAAGGATCCCGAAGAAATAAAAAAAGATCCGAGGAGCGTCAAAGTTTGCTAAATTTTCCCGATGAGTGCAAAAATGTTAAATGGTCATAAATGACAAAGGCAAGGGGGAAATTAAGTTGATGTAAAACGGTCAGGATGACGTGTGGTCAGTTGCGGAGTGTTGCTGCAGTGAAGAACTCCGTCAGTCCGCTGGTCAACGTTTAATAGTCTGGAGATATTAGGTGGTATTTGAACCCTATTACTTAAGATCTAACTACATGAATTACAGTGGCTAGTCTACCTCGACAGCTAATCAAAGGCGAGTTACAGTTCTGATGAACATATTAAAAAGTCCACAAATAGTTGAGACCAACAACAGCAGAAGCAGGATCGAGCAGGGACCGCCGGCAAAATACCTGTGCTGTACGCGTCTGGTGCGCGAGGCGCGTGTGACACCTTTTCACCCTTTGTGTAAATAGTTGGACCACCTTCATTGTAGCACACTATGCAGTACTGTAGATGTGGAAAACATACTGTAGGAACATGAAAACGAATTGTATTCATACTGATATAAGTATTTTTATATCAACACAATATTTACTCTTATTTTGATACACATTTAGATATTTGGATAATAATATCTAAACACTTAACTATTTGGATCAATATGGCCTTATTGAACATCATATCAGTGTGCTGTTTTCAACCTTTCCCAGTGGTGGGTTTACATCTTCAGAGATCAATTAGTAAAACCATATGGAATTAGCTTAATACATGCATAATACTTGCCTGGGGAGGCAAAGGGTTGAATTCTTGGAGATCTTTGCTCTGAGACTTCTCTCCTGCTACTGTAGGTCATATGATACTCGGTGGCAGGTAGCCTAGTGGTTAGCGCATTGGGCCACTAACCGAAAGGTCGCTAGTTCAACTCCCAGAGCCTAAATTGCTCCAGGGTCGCCATAGACGATGGCTGGTCCCACTCTCCGAGGGTGTCTCAGGGAGAGTTGTGATATGCAAAACACATTTCGTATTCACACATGCATATAATACACACTTGTATGTGTGAAATAGGACAAATATAAGCACCCACCAAATTATGATTACTACTGTGGGTCATACTATACTGTATGAATGGGTCTCCTGGTGATGGCACCATACCCAGTGATATTCTTCACAGTATTTTGTCACCATGGTTGGTTAGGTTACTTTCTAAATGTAATCTGTTACTAGTTACTGGTCCAACATTTTAATCAGTAACTTAACTTTTGGATTACCCAAACTCAGTAATGTAATCTGACTACTTTCAGTTACTTTTGGATTACTTTCCCCTTAAGACGCATTAGAAGAAGACAAAAATGTTCCATCAAATGCATTTGGTGTGTCATCATAGTGGTCTCGGACGTGTGGTCAGACTCGTTCACCTGGAACAAACTTAAACTTGCGCCTTTTTTCAATGCTGAATTGAATGTCATTGAGAAAACAGATAGATGGCATAATGTATTTTTTTCACAAACATTCTCTGAATTTTTAAGTAATCATCTAGTTTTTTTTCAAAAGTATCTGTAATCTGATTACAATAGTTTTGCTGGTAATGTAATTGATTACAGTTAGAATTTTTTGTAATCAGATTACATGTAATTTACATGTAATCAGTTACTCCCCAACCTTGTTTGTCATCCTGGGGTCAGAGGTTTGTATTGAACACTCACTCATCTCCCTACTGGGCCACTGATGAATATGCCTCATGATTATGGAAACTTTAGCAATACTTTAATCCTCTGTCATAAGGCCTGCATAACACTGACAGAACATTGGCATTACATTTTACATTTTAGTAATTTAGCAGACGCTCTTATCCAGAGCGACTTACAGTTAGTGAGTGCATACATTTTCATACTGGCCCCCCGTGGGAAACGAACCCACAACCCTGGCGTTGCAAGCGCCATGCTCTACCAACTGAGCTACAGGGGACATGTTATAAACAGTCAACAGCGGACTCTATGAAAAAATGTGTACCCAATGTTTGGAAATGTCACAAAGGAATAGCTTACCTTAAAAACAACTCCCTTTCTGCCTAGTTTCCATTTTCCAAGACCTCTGAGTCCTTCTACTATCACTGTTATGAACATTAGTTCCACGGGAGGCTTCTGAGGGGAGGACGGCTCATAACAATGGCTGGAATGGAGTGAATGGAATGGTATCCAACATATGGAAACCATGGAAACCATGTGTTTGATGTGTTTGATACCATTCCATTTATTGCTTTCCAGCCATTACTATGAGCCCGTCCTCCCCAATGAAGGTGCCACCTTCTGCCTGTGGTTAGTTCTAAAAGAAAGAGGGTCCAGGATGTTCACTCCTAGAGAGGTACAATAGTATCTTTCCCATAGCTGTCAACCCAACAGTCTATGGGACATGGATTGAGTGGTCTGCATGTGTAAATCTACATCAGTCTCTCTCCATCCAGTCTCTTTCCAAGTGGAGCCCCTGCTGTGTCTAAGAGGCCCAGGGTTGTGCAGCTCTAACCTCAGTCAGGACCTCTGGGAGTGGGAGCCCTCACTGACCCACTGACCAGGCACACTGGCAGACTAGCAACCTGCTGCTCACACACATAAACACACACGTATGCACTCATATATTCCACAATCACACTCATAAATCTGCATATACACACATACACACTGACACACTAACACACACACTATCGCGCACACGGACATATTGACACACAAACACACCAGCATAATCCGAGCAACAGTACAAAGTGACCCCTTTTCTCACAACATACATTCAGACATCTTGGGTTTGATGCCTCACCCCCAGCCTCCCCCTCCAGCCCTCACCCCTGGGAGGTTGAGACCCCAACATTCCACGCATAGCCAACAAATGAAGGATTGAAAACATGTCACATATTGAGTAACGATTTCCAGAGAACCCCAGCCAAGCACTCTGACACCCTCCCTGCCTTCAGCCTATATGTCTTGTCTGCAAACAGTCCTTTTGACCTTCTGTGAGCACTTTGCAGCCTCTCTGAACCTTGTCCAAAACAAGCACAATGTTTTTTGATCACTTATTTAATCTTATCCAAACCCACGCAATTTCACAGTATGGAGACATGATGATAAAAGAGTTGCATAAATATTCTATAAGTTCCTGTGTGTTTTGGTGTTCTTACAAAGGATTCCATTTTCAGTTAAAATAAACAGGGGTGTGAGGTGTTTTCTCATACTGTCTTTCCCTTGTTCTGGAAGTACTCCATAAATCTAAAAGCAAAAAAGCTGAAAGCCATAAACATAATGAAATATAGCTCACTGAAAACCAGCTAAGTAAACTCCCCAAATTGCATGATTTCACAGCAACACAATCACAACCACCACACAAAGCCACAAGTCCCTCTCGTCTTAGTCAACTCAAGCCAATAAGTTCCAGATGGAGTGATGTGTGAAATGACCTCCTGTCATTCTGAGAAAACACCTAAATCTAATAGCGAATCTGTTCCTAATCTGTTCAACCTAGATTCCCTTCTTGCCACCTTGCCCTCTCAAATACGGGCACATTTTACACATTTGCCAGGACAAGATTAGATAGTTAATCGTAAATTACATAACAGTGCAGAGGCTGTCAGAGCCACAATAACGCTCTATAGGGTTGTTATAGGGTCACGGGACAAAGGATAGTTTAGCATCGAATCAAGAACAGTTAGTTCAGTTCAACCACTAAAACCTCCAATAATTGGCATCTTTGAGTTGCAGTCTCACAGATGGGGATATTGGGATGTGCCAATGTAAGCTTTATGAGGGATGTGAGGGAACATTGATTTGTCCTGTTAAAGCATGAGAGCCAACTGCTAAGTCAGGGGTTGATTGGAGCTTAATTGGAATGGGACTATCCTCTGGACGTTTCAGTTGTCTCCTGGTCACCAATGTACTACCACAAACTGTCCATTCCAAGGTAACAGAACCACCCACCAACCCCCCTCCACTCATGCCCGACTCCATCTCTGATTAGGGTGCTGAGGGTGACTTCCACACAGGGTGTTTGGCAGGATAGACGTTGCCCGGTCCAGGGGCAGTTGAACCGGGCCTGTTTGGGACCTCCTCTGCCTGTCGCCCCCCCACATACACATACTTGACGGGCTCAGGGGAGGCTGGGCTGTTGCTGCTGCTGATCTGACAAGGCAAGGCCAACATCTAAGCTGTCTCACACACTCTCCCTAATCAATGTCACAAGGTGTGTTTAGCAGTAGCACCAGCACAGTCAACCACAGCAGACCAGACTAGGACCAGACCAGGGCTCAACACTCAACATTTTCCTTCTTCAAATCAGCATCATTATCTGGACCTGATCAAACATGACAGATCAAACGTCACAGACGTGACACAATCTGTTTTTTGAGCCTAGATGCCTGGGGCATTGTTTCTAGTGAATGGGCACAACTTACAAGGAAAAATAGTTGATTGTGAATTGGGTAGCAATTAAGCATCAATTAAGTACCATAGCAATGTTCTGTAGGGTTGCCATGACCAAATGAGGATAGGTTGGCATTAGACTAACTGCTACTGCTACTGATTGACTCTAGGTCATCTGGGGCAGCATCTAAGCTGTCTCATACTCCTTTATAAATGTTGTTAATCAAAATAAACCTGGTCAAGGAGTGACTCAGTTAAGGGCTGTTCAAGGGCTTCAGTGCCTACACCGACTTTTAATTGAGCATCTAATTCTATGATTTTTATCCACCATCAACCAGATGATGACCTGTCACCAAACTATACAAAAGGGTTCTTCGGCTATCCCCATAGGAAAACCCTTTTTGGTTCCAGGTAGAACTCTTTTGGGTTCCATGTAAAACCCTCTGTGTAAAGGGTTCTACATGGAACCAAATTGGTTCTACCTGGAACCAAAAAGGGTTCTTCAAAGGGTTCTCCTTTGGTTACAGCCGAAGAACCCTTTTACATTCTAGATAGCACCTTTTTTTCTAAGAGTATAGCGATGCAATGCAGTAATCCCTGATCATCTCCTTGAAGCTATGACCAGTATAGCACCTGTTTCCCACAGTGATGTACCAGTCCTCAGAATTACACAGTAGGTTTAGTGAGGCATAGAATGTGCCAGAAATGTTTTTCCATTCCTGGCTTTTTTCTTTTTACACTGGGTTTACAATGTTGTACGTGCATTTGTGCAACAGCTAAGTAGCTCTGTGCTTTATCCCTCGGTGAAGGGCACGAATTGCACGGAAATCATGGTCCAGGGCCACAGTCCAAACCCATCGCCTGAGATACCTGCGAGTAATGTCACCCTTTGCCTCCGTTCCTGCGGGGAACATATCCAAAGTTTTTGACCCTAAATGCTCTTAGTAGCCTTGGCCACGGAAGAGCTAGCCACTGGCTTTGCAGATGGTTCTGTCTGGGTTGGGACTGGGGGCTGTTTAAAAAAATAAATGAAGGTGTTATTACTGGTTCTAATCTTATTAAGGTGTCTGACACCAAGACAAAGGAGAGGAACGTGTCCAGCCTCAGCAGCAGCCTAAACTGATTTCTAGACCCTGACCCAGGGAGGAGGCCCGACACATTGTGGTTAGACACGGCACACGCGCACACACACGCGCACACACACACACACACACACACAGAGAGCATGTATGAAGGTCAAACACCCAGGTACATAGGCTTAACTACATGCGCGCACACACACTCACACAAACACCCGCCTGCCCTGACCCAGAGAGAAAGCCAATCAGACAGCGGTTAGACATGTAGCAAACAAACACACATACAGAGACCTACTTACCTACGCACATACACACACCTACAAGCACATGTAAGCACACAAATATCACTTTTCAGCCAGTTGGTATTATGCAACAAGTGCCTTGATCTTGCATCAGTGGATCAGGCCTTAAAACATCTGTTGACCACATGAGGAATATTTTCATTCCTTTTCCAACCAGCTTGTGCACTTCACACATATTTGGGGGCAGTGTGGCGATAGCTTACTCACTGTTTGTGTTCTTTAAATTAGGAAGAGAACATAATAACATTCTTGCACTCTTGAACATGGGCTTTTATAGTACATGTCAACACTTATACAGACAGGGTACAGCATGTGCAGGGTCAAGAGTGTGTGGACAGGCTGAAAACACAGCTGTACACAACTAGCTGTATCAGGAACAGCCAGTAAAGACATCTGACATCTGCTCCTGTCACCTGTAGGATTTCTGCTCCTGTCACCTGTAGGATTTCTGCTCCTGTAACCTGTAGGATTTCTGCCCCAAGTCACCTAAGGCTGTTCAGTTCTTGCTTTTTGTTATGAGATTCCACTCCGACTAAAGCAGCTGTGTTATTTTGAGACCCTACTCCCACCTGTACTAGAGGAAGCAGCTATATTGTGTCGAGGACCCTTAGGTCAATCTACGCATCAATCTACACATCCATTCATCCTCTAGACTTCACCAGTGAGACTGCAGAGAGGAATAAGGTATACCTGCCACTGAGCCACGGTAGGAATTAAAACAATTCCCACTTGTTTCTGGTTGCCAAGGTCACCAAAAGCCACATTTCTAGATAAAGGGACCTTGAAAAAACTTTCAGTAGCGTTAGTGAAGCCTCACTTTAATTATGCGCGCACTCCCGTCTGAGATTTAACTGTTTCTGCCAGTCTTAGGTTCAAACACTCCTATAAGGCTTGGTTAATGTTGAGATAGCCTCCTAGCCAAGTACAGTGAGGGAAAAAAGTATTTGATCCCCTGCTGATTTTGTACGTTTGCCCACTGACAAAGAAATGATCAGTCTATAATTTTAATGGTAGGTTTATTTGAACAGTGAGAGACAGAATAACAACAACAAAATCCAGAAAAACGCATGTCAAAAATGTTATAAATTGATTTGTATTTTAATGAGGGAAATAAGTATTTGACCCCCTCTCAATCAGAAAGATTTCTGGCTCCCAGGTATCTTTTATACAGGTAACGAGCTGAGATTAGGAGCACACTCTTAAAGGGAGTGCTCCTAATCTCAGCTTGTTACCTGTATAAAAGACACCTGTCCACAGAAGCAATCAATCAATCAGATTCCAAACTCTCCACCATGGCCAAGACCAAAGAGCTCTCCAAGGATGTCAGGGACAAGATTGTAGACCTACACAAGGCTGGAATGGGCTACAAGACCATCGCCAAGCAGCTTGGTGAGAAGGTGACAACAGTTGGTGCGATTATTCGCAAATGGAAGAAACACAAAATAACTGTCAGTCTCCCTCGGCCTGGGGCTCCATGCAAGATCTCACCTCGTGGAGTTGCAATGATCATGAGAACGGTGAGGAATCAGCCCAGAACTACACAGGAGGATCTTGTCAATGATCTCAAGACAGATGGGACCATAGTCACCAAGAAAACAATTGGTAACACACTACGCCGTGAAGGACTGAAATCCTGCAACGCCCGCAAGGTCCCCCTGCTCAAGAAAGCACATATACAGGGCCGTCTGAAGTTTGCCAATGAACATCTGAATGATTCAGAGGAGAACTGGGTGAAAGTGTTGTGGTCAGATGAGACCAAAATGGAGCTCTTTGGCATCAACTCAACTCGCCGTGTTTGGAGGAGGAGGAATGCTGCCTATGACCCCAAGAACACCATCCCCACCATCAAACATGGAGGTGGAAACATTATGCATTGGGTGTGTTTTTCTGCTAAGGGGACAGGACAACTTCACAGCATCAAAGGGACGATGGACGGGGCCATGTACCGTCAAATCTTGGGTGAGAACCTCCTTCCCTCAGCCAGGGCATTGAAAATGGGTCATGGATTTTGTATTCCAGCATGACAATGATCAAAAAAACACGGTCAAGGCAACAAAGGAGTGGCTCAAGAAGAAGCACATTAAGGTCCTGGAGTGGCCTAGCCAGTCTCCAGACCTTAATCCCATAGAAAATCTGTGGAGGGAGCTAAAGGTTCGAGTTGCCAAACGTCAGCCTCGAAACCTTAATGACTTGGAGAACATCTGCAAAGAGGAGTGGAACAAAATCCCTCCTGAGATGTGTGCAAACCTGGTGGCCAACTACAAGAAACGTCTGACCTCTGTGATTGCCAACAGGGGTTTTGCCACCAAGTACTAAGTCATGTTTTGCAGAGGGGTCAAATACTTATTCCCTCATTAAAATGCAAATCAATGTATAACATTTTTGACATGCATTTTTCTGGATTTTTTTGTTGTTATTCTGTCTCTCACTGTTCAAATAAACCTACCATTAAAATTAGACTGATCATTTCTTTGTCAGTGGGCAAACGTACAAAATCAGCAGGGGATCAAATACTTTTTTCCCTCACTGTATAAACCACTCTGTGCTAGTGGAGGGATTTGTTAGATGTGTTTATTTGCTTTTTGTATAGATGTAAATATTTGGACATTGTGTATGATTGAATGTATGGCACAGAGTGCCTGCCCATGTTGCTTGTTTTAGTCATGCTGCCTTTTCCTACCAATAGAGGACCGAATGGAAACTGTTGACTTCTTTGTGTATATAATCCTCTACAATTTTGGTATATGTATCTGTTGCAACATTTATGCATTTTTTAATTGTTAAATAAAATCAAATACTTATTTTATTTTTTTACCAAACTGCCACTGTCAATGGACTGGAGAAAATAGGAGATATTTGGAGTGGTTGATGACTAGGCTGTTTAAAGTTGAACCAATTAATTACTTTTTCACCCCTAAATTGTGTGTGAGCTAAAGTGATTTATGTGCTTCTGTAGGTTTTCTACCTTCGTCTGAGACCACACTGAACTAGTCTTCTTCTCAACCCATCTGCATAAAAGCTTAAACCAGACAGAATCATGTTTTCAGAGGTATCTAGACTATACACTGAGTGTACAAAACATTAGGAACACCTGCTATTTCCATGACATAGACTGACCAGGTGAATGCTATGATCCCTTATTGATGTCACTTGTTAAATCCACTTCAATCAGTGTAGATGAAAGGGAGGAGACGGGTTAAAGAAGGATTTTTAAGCCTTGAGACGTGGATTGTGTATGTGAGCATTGAGAGGGTGAAAGGGCAAGACAAAATACTGAAGTGCCTTAGAATGGGGTATGGTAGTAGGTGCCAGGCGCACCGGTTTGAGTGTGTCAAGAACTGCAACGCCGCTGGGTTTTTCACCCACAACAGTTTCCCGTGTGTATCAAAAATGGTCCACAACCCGAAGGACATCCAGCCTTCTTGACACAACTGTGGGAAGCATTGGAGTCAACATGGGCCAGCATTGTGTGTGGAAAGCTTTTCACCTTGTAGAGTCCACGCCCCTACAAATTGAGGCTGTCCTGAGGGCAAAAAGGGGTGCAACACAATATTAGGAAGGTGTACCTAATTGTATGTACACTCAGTGTATCCTATTGTAATAACACACACCGACTCCCAAATCAATCTAGTTAAACTGTTTTAAAGCTTTATATAATCGTGCTTTTTGGATGAAAGGTAATCATGTTTCATTTTAAATGATTTACCTTGGGAGGAGAGCCAGGCAGTGAACAGTTACACCACTGAATTGGCATGGTTGATTCATGTCAACACTGACTCATCTACACCCTCTAGTGGATGTTAGCAGAAACAGATGAGGCTCCATTTCAGTTCTCTGCCATATTCATAATTACCATCTCATCCTTTGATATAACAACCAATTTCAGAGAAAAGGAAAGATTGATCAAGTAATCCACCATGCTTTATCAAAGAACAGGTACAGGTCTTCACAATCAAACACAAGTTAAACAGTGCCTATAAGGAATTTATCAAAGGTACACAGGACCTATAAAAATATCAGACTCTGAATGCATAGGTTAAGTTAGACTGTATTCTTCCTCTAGAACATGAGCAATCAATCAGTACAATGTTAGTCTTCCATTCGCACAGAACCAGTAACAATTCTGGAACATTCTAGAAGACTGTAGGTCTAGAACACCGGGCACAAAATGGCCGTAGGCATTTCAAACACCATCGCCCAGCTTCTTCAACCAAGTACCTCTCACTCTCGTGGCACAACATCACTTAAAAAGCATTAAAAAGTTAGGAACACCAAATTCTCTCTTGATAGTCCATTTGACATGTTCAAGTTAGTCTTTCTTATTGTATTTCTTCAACATTTACACTAAACTCATTCCCAACACAGCAGATACTGTGGCTTTGCACTTGGTTTCATCCTAGCTGCAACCTACCTTCACTTTCCCCCCCATTGATAAACGCTTTCCATACTTGTAGGCATCGATACAAACGAAAGAAATTGCTCGTTAAAAAAGGAAATTACCAATTAATAAAAAATATAGAATCAATAACATACTAAGACAGTCAGAGCTTAAGGTATACATTTGAACAGTAAACAATTAACAGCTTTGTTAGTAACTGACTTGATTGTTTATAAACTTCTGCAGTGGGGCACTGACTGTACTGTTGAACTGAATGTAACTAGCATGAAGAACTGATAAGACATGTTAGGGTCTTAGTCTTCTATGACCAAATGTGTTTGTCATTAAGCAGTAATCTTTTCAATCAACGCACTCTCATTCAGCTTCAATGCTAACATTTGCATTCTTGTGTATGAATCATCATTTATACTCAAACAAATAAGTAGCAAACACCATAACTTGACAAAAGTAAAATGTCAGTAGGTTAAACCCGGGGACCCCTCAAGAACAAACATTTGATCTCTAGCTAGCTTACATGTTAATGTAGGTTATATGTTTAAACGTTCTGACAGAGCAGTATGAATTGGTGTATTATGCCAAATGCACTGTACAATAGAACCAACGGCTTGGGGAGAATTGCTTGGGGAAAGTGTTATGGAAGCACTCAAACATAACAGCTGTGTCACAAACTTATGAAACGCAAACAATCCTTTCAATCTATCCTTTGCCACATCATTCAGTTCGTTCCGAAAAACAAAACAAAAACACATTTTATACAGCAATTCAAAAATAGGACATTTATGATTGATAAATCTATTGTGGAGAACCAGACTATTTTTCTGTCTAGGTTTGTATTTGGTTTTGATCTAATCACAGTAAATGGAAATATCTTAAGTGAAGCAATCCAAAAATGGTTTAACATCCTCATTTTAGGGGAACCTCCACTTGTGCTGGGAATATACTTCCCCTAAAGTGCACCTAGCGGTTTCTGCTTAAATCAATAATACCTTAACTCTATAGGAACTGTCTACGATTAATTTCATTCACAGTTGAAAGTGTCAGTTGAATATTATACCCAATAACTGTTACATTAAAAATAACCCCTCACACACAAACATTCAACCAAATTGTAGAAAATATGAATATTGCCCCTGCACCAAATACATGTTAATCTCAATTAGTTTTGTTCCGTTTCAGCAAGTAAACGTTGTATAATAAAAAATGTTTGTTTATCATAGAGCAGGAGCAATTAATAATGTTTCCACATTGGGTGTTTGATTGAAATCCAGACGGTGTCTGTGGAGCTAGCTAACCATAGCATCTGTTAGAAGGCTGTTATCTTCCACCTAACGAAGACAGTTCTTTAAGAAACAGAGCCACTGTCTTAACAATATGGATGAAACTTGAAGCATCTGTTTGCTTACTGAACACATAACAACAAACAGTTCCACAAAACTAACACAAACTTCTCAACTGGCAAGAGACAGCACTCACACCCACTCCCTCTTAGATTACTGAACCTCAGTGGCACAAAGCAACATCTCTATAAATAGCTCCATCAGGCATCCACCTAAGAACAAATAAACAGGGTAGTGTGATAATGTGGGCAACCATTTGGAAATACCACTGAAGTGTGGGAGTATGACTGAGTGTGTGTGTGTGTATACAGTCTGCAGAATGTGTGTGAATGCCAGTTGGAACGTCAGCAGCCACCTGTTATGTCCACCAAAGCAAGAGGCAGTACTGCATGTTGCTGTGTGCAAGTCAGCTGTGTCGCAACATTGTACTAAGCTGCCCATGTTGGACTGATAAGAGCAGTAGGCCTATATCAGAAGAGCTGTTCAAATGGCCTCTACTCTTATCAACCCCCTCATCATCCATGAGCCAAGTCCACAGTACATATATGACTAATGCCCAGTACAAAGGGATCCATGTACAGTACATAAGTTAAGCCATCTTGGAAGACTGTCACTGTCCCTCAACGCCAATGTTCCACTGTAGCCCGACACAACAAACTAGAGAGGGATGAGAGAGAGAGAGTGGGACAGGGGGAAGAGAGGAGGGGAGAGCGAGGGAAGGAGGCCCAAATTCTTCAGTATATAACTGAGGACATGATGCATGAGTAATCGGTTAGCGAGTGCTGCATGGGGACACAGACTGGCAGGGAGCAAGGCAAAGAGAGGCATGGCGAGGAGGACGACCACATTACCTAGCTAACACAACAGGATTTTGAAACAAACCTCAATAACGCTGGCTGAACGACACCGAATCATACTGCAATGAAATTGACTAAACGATAGTAGCTATTACGGCCAATAGAGAGCTAGTAGGGTCCACATGGACATCAGCGTCTGTCTGTGTGTCTGTTAGTCCTGTTGATCTCTAGTAGGTGAGTCTGGAGGCCTTCATGTTGTAGCAGGGTCTGTCGGTGAGGCCTCCCGCCCCAGAGAGGAGTGCCAGGCCCTCAGCCTTCTCCAGCACCACCTCTAACTCCTGGAAGTCCTGCAGCCGAGCCACGTCTTTGTCCTGGGAATAATAAAGTTACATTCAATAAAACAAATCTTTATTGTCCCCAAAAGGGCCAATTGTTTGTAGTGATTACGGTACAAAAATGAGTACATACATCGTTCATCACACACACGACTGACAGACATTAGGTGGGAGGATATAAGAGAAGTAATCTCTTCTAGAGTGAGTGGGTGTGTGTGTGTGTTTTGTAGGTCGCAGTCTTAGTCAGTAGTTGTTCTGGGATTACATAATGTGACAACAGCTCCCTTCATAACTGGATGGGTGACATTGTTTTCATATCAAATCCACCCATGCATGGCAAGATGGGACTACTGTGTGCCATGGAACACAATGTAGCTCAAATCAATGAACTTGCAAACAGCATAATCAACCCAAAACTTCAAAACCATTGTGACAACGTACATTTTCTCCACACACTGTGTGGCCCTAACTCATAAGAAAATAATAGAGCTGTACACACACTCTCGCTCTCATGCAAATGATTTATTAAAATTGTAATAATGGGTGACCATCATTCCATCATCAAGCTGCAGTCATCAGGGTTTCTAATCTTAGAGCACACAGTGGTGCTCCAACTTAACAGAACAGTGTAGTGCTCCAACCTAACAGAACAGTGGTGCTCCAACTTAACAGAACAGTGTAGTGCTCCAACCTAACAGAACAGTGGTGCTCCAACTTAACAGAACAGTGTAGTGCTCCAACCTAACAGAACAGTGTAGTGCTCCAACCTAACAGAACAGTGTGGTGCTCCAACCTAACAGAACAGTGTGGTGCTCCAACCTAACAGAACAGTGTGGTGCTCCAACTTAACAGAACAGTGTAGTGCTCCAACCTAACAGAACAGTGTAGTGCTCCAACCTAACAGAACAGTGTGGTGCTCCAACCTAACAGAACAGTGTGGTGCTCCAACCTAACAGAACAGTGTGGTGCTCAAACCTAACAGAACAGTGTGGTGCTCCAACCTAACAGAACAGTGTGGTGCTCCAACCTAACAGAACAGCGTGGTGCTCCAACCTAACAGAACAGTGTGGTGCTCCAACCTAACCTAACAGAACAGTGAACTGTTGGGCCTATGAGGTGTGTGTCTAGGAGTGTTCCTGCCTGCCCTGCATCTTTCATTAGTGGTGCCTGGCCCTGCCCTGCTCGCTCCATTGAGCTGGTTAGTGGAGTGGAAAGGTAGCTGCAGCCTCAGGGTTCACAGTGCTACTGCTCAACCACTTGAGTTAGAAGCATCCAGTTTGAGTACCAGAGCCACCTACAACATCACCCTTCCGATGTGTGCGTGTTACTGCCATTCCCATACCTTTCTGAGCATGGTGTTGGGCAGCTTGCGGATCTTCTCCACGTGTTCGGCGCTTATGTCCAGCTCGCGGCAGCACACCCGGAGCAGCGAGCGGTAGGTCAGCTCCTGTCTGTCCAGCTCTACCTCGATGAAGTCGTTCTCCCGCGCATTGGGGTTCTGGATGCGCACCTTTAGGACCAGTTCTGGGAGAGAGAGACAGAAACACCAATGACATAAAGTTAGCTACTTCAGTGCGTGAGATGCAGTAGAAAGAACACTCAGTATCTGGGGCACATTCAGGCACACACAAGGGGGAGAAAGCATTGGATAATGGGTCTGAAAGTGCAGAGTGGCGATAAAACAGGCTCAACACGCAATGGGATTAGCTCCAAAAAGGCTCTGCTGTTGTTGACTCAAATCAATGCTTGATCGAACACCACAACATTAGAGACAAACACACGTCACACAACATCAACAGCACAACATCAAAAGCAAGTGCAGTGTGGGGACCGTCCTTACCTTGCACGTTGACAGGGAATGTACTGGTAAAGAAGAAAGGCTGGAAGGCAGGCATGTTACCCCCAGCCCCCTGGCCACAGTTGAGCTGCTGAGGGATGGACTGCTGCCGGGTCATGGATGGGTTAGCGTTAGCCACCTGGGCCTGGCTGCTACTGCTGGTGGTGCTGGGGCTGGGGGAGGGCAAGGGAGGAGAGCACACAGGCCCATTATGGGCCACCGAGTGTGGGTACTCCCCATGGTTGACCAGGTGGGGCTCCATGGAGAGGTCCATAGGCAGGCCTCCGTTGACGGTGAGAGACGAGGCAGGGCTCGGCGACACTCCGTTCTGCTCTGCCATTGGAATGAAGGCCCCCTCCCTCGGGCTCGGGGTGTCAGAGAGTAGGCTCTGCGATTGCTGAGGCAGCTGTTGCTCGTGGGTGGGCGACAGGGAAGCTGGGTCGCTGTGTGGGTCCTCTGATGAGTGGTCTCCATTGCCATTTTGGGTCAACTGTGCCAATATCAGCTCAGCCTTGTTGTCCATCTTACTATACATGAATGGCGGGTTGGACAGGTAGTTTGGGATGATTGGCAACTCAGGCTCCTTGATTTCAGGCACTTCCTCCTCCTCCTCAACTGTGAAAATATACATAAGACACTACATTTAACTGGGGAGAACCTTGAACATTGACATGGCCAGAGCATACTGTGAAAAGCCTCCATCTAAGATCATTACCCAAATTGTGACCCTAACTATGAGCAGGTAAATCACAAATAACTGGCTTAAGGTTAGTGCTTAGGGGTGAATAGTAATTATACCCAAAATACAGCTATTATACAGATATTGCATGAGAATGTTTAAGAGAATTTTAACACAAAAACAGTAATAACTGGGGGAGTGGTGAAGTGATGATGGGACATTTACCTCCTAACAGTCTTCTGATTTCTGGCTTAGAGGTCAGCTGGACAGCCAGCTCATCTTTAGCTGTGAGGATCTCTTGGTCAGCTCCAGAGTTCAGCAGGTACGACACAACCTGTTTGTGGTTTCTCTTGCATGCCCAATGCAAACATGTCCTGAATAGGAGACAATGAATAAAGTAAGTCAATGGTCTGCTCTGGGATTATTCATAATGTTGAAGAAAGATTGAATGAGCCATCATCATGCAATGTCAAACAGCCAATGTGGGAACAGTCATTGTGAATGATACAGTAGTTACTGGAGGTAGATCCAGATGAAGTACAGTGTTCACCTATTTTACCTATGCAAATATTTGCACCTTGCAGCCAACATTTACTTGTTCATTTTTATTGTCATACTTGAGAACCAACGCGGGGGTATATTTGCATCACTTGCAGTTAAAGGTGATTGCCATCTAGCCCTAATTAGATAACACACTATTCTTCTTAGGCCAGCATGAAATTGTGACATTAGACATGCCGTTGTATTGCACGTTGTCAACATTGCGCAGGCAGCATTTTATCACCAACAATCAATCGATCAATCAATAATCACCTTACATGTTATTTATCAACTTGTGTTTAAGTTTAATATATATACATATTGGTATTAGACACACTTACCATCCGTTTATTTCGTTTTGAGAGTTGACATTTACTCCGCTTTCCACTAAAATCCGCACCTCGTCGATATCTCCAATCGCAGACGCCTCTCTTAAGCGCTCCTGCAATTCCTTATCCAACGATGTCGTTGACATTTTGTACAAATGATTAGCTAACTTAACGAGATCATGGGAGACAATAATGACTTTACAGGTCGTAAGAGGGTGACGCCTTTGTCTGGAAATAGCTGCTTAATTGCACTAAAAATAGACGGCGACTAGGGGAGTGTTGTTAGCTAACAAGCTAACTGACTAGATAGCTAGCTTTACAGGAGGCTAGCTACTAGGCTCGCGCAAGATTGTTGACGTCCATACGCTTTGCAGGAACAATATTTATCAGGTCAGCGGTTAGTTTAATGTAATATGTTCTTGCTGCACCGGCTTGTCAACTCTTTTAAATGAGTTTTGGAATTAAAAGTCCATTACATTGTAGCTGTGTTGCGTAAAGGCTCCGGCGGTGCAAATCTGTCCCATATCGGGGACAGATTTGAGTGTAACAACAGTGGGAAGAAAGTTATTTGTTCCCCCTTGCAAATAAGATTTCAGCTTTTAATTAGCTCTTGTAATAATGAATGTTACAATAACCCATGTGTTGACATTTATTTACCTTGCACATACACTGCCGTGTTTAAATGTTCAACTTACCCTGTTTTGTGCAATATGTCTATTTATGCTCCTTTTGGAGTCAACAATGAGTTAGTTGTCCAACAGGTCTAGTTACAGATTTTCTGGACAAGATTCCGAAAATATCTGGTGTGTTTGTGTGTTGAAAAGTACACAAATTGTGGACTGGAAACAATACTTACTGAGAGCACCTACAGTACCCTTGCTTATTCATTCCTACAAATAAGTAATTTTCTTCCTCTAAACCTTCTTGAGGATTCCCTTGAAATCCTCTATATTGTCTTCAACCAAAATCATCATTCAAATTTGTCAGAGACTCATAACTTTATAGCTTGACACCACAGTAGACTTTGACCTCATCGACTTAGTAGCATTATAAGCAGGGGTGAAAGTCACTGATTTACAGTTATACCTTTTTCTAACTTATGGTCAATCAACTTTATTTGATTTCAAACTGATTTTGTGTATCAGAAAGTATGTAATTTGGGGGACCTAGCCCAATAATCGACTAAAGGAGCCAAACATTACTCCTTATAGTCCAAGGACCTTACTTGTTCTGTTTAAAGGCGAATTGGCTCTGGAAGTCAAAGCAGTCAAATACTCCCATCTAAACGTGAATCGACTCTCAATTGCGGTACAGTTCTAGAATCATAAATCCCTCTACTTTCGTATAACATCAAAATAATTTCACAACATGAAAAATACACACTTACTGTAAACTTGTTTTAACTGGGTAATACACAGTTGCAGCCAACAGTATTTTTCCAGAGACAACACATTTGTGGCATCTGTCTTCTGTTTACACACAGGTGTTTGGAAATGCAGATAACTAATTAGCGCAAGTAGTTTACTCTGGCCTTGTTCTAGAGCAGGGGTGTCAAACTCATTCCATGGAGGGCCTAGTGTCTGCAGGTTTTTGGTTTTTCCTTTCAATTAAGCCCTAGACAACCAGGTGTGGGGAGTTCTTTACTAATTAGTGACCTTAATTCATCAATCAAGGACAAGGGAGGAGTGAAAACCCGCAGCCACTAGGCCCTCCGTGGAATGAGTTTGACACATGTGTTCTAGAGGTTCAAAACCGCAATATATCAGGGGTAGATTGTGACTGACTGATCTACAAATAATAATGAATCCTTATTTATGATGTAAGGTGATTTGTAGATCAGTCAGTCGGCAGTCCCCTGCAGTTATTTTGATGCTCTCCAACACGGCTTCTGTCTTCCATCTGTTTTTGTGCTGAAACATGGACAAATGGCCTTGTGGGAACCTTAACCCGATAAAGGTGCGTATCAATTTAACCTTTTCATATATATATAATATATAATTTATTTATTGCTGATATGAAAGATAATGTCCTTATGCTTCTAAAATCTTACTGCAATAGATGCATGTTAATGTTCAGACCAAGCGTCAGGCTCTTAACCAGATATCCCCGTACAGAATACGCCTTCGCCCAATAACTCTTACGTGAGAGTAATGATCAAGGGCTAGTGGGGGACCATAAGTGGATGCTACAGGACATCCCAGCAGAGGGTGGCGTCATTTTTCACACAGCTGCGGTTTCAGGTTCCGCACAGTGGGGTAGCGACTGTTGCTGAATGCGAACGGCTGCCATTTTGATCTGAAATAACTAGGATCTGTATTTCTTTGGTGCAAGAATAAATGGTTTAAGTTTAGCAGAAAAAATAGCCTTTCGCTTTCAGGTTTGAAGCAAAATGCTTTCCGCAGCCCAGTTACTCGATGAGTTGATGGGTCGAGACAGAAACTTGGCCCCCGACGAGAAACGATGCAATGTACGCTGGGACCACGAGACCGTAAGTTAGCCACTTTGTTAGCTTTAGCCAGCTCGCTTGCTGGAAACAATTTCGGCCGGTTCTTGTTTTCAGTGTGTCGCTTGATAGGTAGCTAGTTAACTAACGTTAATATTGATGTGTGTGTGTGGTTAAACTTGATAGCTGGCTAGCTACATGATGCTCGCTAACTAACAGCACCCTAGCTAGCTATAAACTAACGACCGCTAGGGCCGGGTGTTAGCTAGGTAACGCGTTAGCTACAATAGAGGACAGCATGTTCCTCCTCGGCCCCCCTGGCTTACGAAGCTGCTTTCAACATTAAACGATCAACTCTGACCCTATACTGTAACTAGCTTGATATATAGTAGTTAATTAGCAACTTCAACAGCGATAACATACTAGTTTGCTAACGACGGCTAGCTAATTTAGTTCATGGTCCACTGACAACTCGGCTAGCTAGTTTGCTAAATAAAAACAAGTCGGTAACGTTATTTGCAGACAACATCAACAGAATGGGACAACCGTGGCTTGCGTAATGGAGACAAACTAGTTAGCTAGCTGCGTTGCTGTGCATTTCGACGTCAATACAATATTGACATTTGTATTGCCGCAAAGTTAGACATTAGCTAGCTTAGTAATCTTATGCTATGTTTCTGGCAATGTAGCTAGTTAGCTAATCAAGTTGCATTACTGAGAGTCAAATCACATTTTATTGGTCGCATACACATATTTCGCAGATGTTATTGCGGGTGTAGCGAAATGCTTGTGTTCCTAGCTCCAACAGTGCAGTAATATCTAACAATACATCCCACGGGGGGCCAGTATGAAAAATGTATGCACTCACTAATTGTAAATCGCTCTGGATAAGAGCGTCTGCTAAATGACTAAAAAAAAAAAAAAAATTAAAGTAAATAATATATACACTACCGGTCAAAAGTTTTAGAACACCTACTCATTCAATGGTTTTTCTTTATTATTATTTTTTTACTATTTTCTACATTGTAGAATAATAGTGAAGACATCAAAACTATGAAATAACACATGGAATCAGGTAGTAAACAAAACTGTTAAGCAAATCAAAATATACCGTATTGGTCCGAATATAAGACGACCCTGATTATAAGACGACCCCCCGTTTTTCAACACAAACATTTAGAAAAACAGATTTGCAGACTAGATTTGCCGAACAAAGAACTTCATTTTATTTTAAAATAACAATATTAAAAACACAGTGAATTAAACACAAAGGCAAACTATGTACAGTATGATTCAAAATTAATATCAAGCAATAATAAAGCAACATTTTTAAATAACAGAGAAAATACAGGCCACACATTTAACTAAACTTAACAAAAATTCGCCAAACTTCTCCTCCGATGTCTCTCTATCCCTCACACACGTCCTCTGCCCCGCTGTGTTCGCTCTCGCTGTCATCGCTCCCCAGCTGCTCCGCTTCCACCGGCTCCTCCCAAAGCACGTCGTCCTCGCTGCCGTCCAATGCATTTGAGATGCAACATTTTTTAAAGCCATCGATGATGCTCTGTGAGGGAATAGCATCCCATGCATGCAGGATCCATTCACACAGTAGACGGACTGACGGCTTCTGTATTTTCCCGGTCGGTGTGAGTGCGTGGTTGCCAGACAGGAGCCACTCTGTGTATTTTTTTCGCAGGTTATCCTTGAAAGGCTTGTTCACAACTACGTCCAACACCTGTAGCTGGCTTGTCATTCCCCCTGGTATGATCACAAGATCCCCGTTCATTGCTCGCACCTGACTTTTCACGGGCTCAGTCAGATGTCCGCGGAACGCATCCAGAACGAGCATGTTCCTCCTCTTCCTCAGTCCCCCGTAGCGTGCGCCCCACACAACCTTTAGCCAGTCCACTACAAGCCCCGACTCCATCCAGCCCTTCTCCTGGGCGCGCACAATAATGCCAGCTGGCATTGGGTCCTTTGGCACAGTCTTACGCTTAAGAATGACATACGGGGGGAGTTTGCTGCCACCAGCGAGACATGTCAACATGACAGTGACGCGGCTCTTCTCGTTGCCCGTTGATTTCACCAACACAGACTTTTCTCCCTTTCTATTGACAGTCACCGATGTTGGCATGTCGAAATAAACGGGTGTCTGATCAGCATTGCCGATCTGATCCAGCGGGTAGGAGTGCTTCTTCCTCAGGTTGATAACAAAGCGCTGAAACGAAAGCAGCTTCTCTCCGAAGTCTGACGGCAGGCGTTGGGCCAAACTCGTTCTCCGTCTAAGTGACAGTCCATTACGCCGCATCATCCTACGACACCAGCCGAGGCTGGCTTTAAATCCAGTGATGTTGAGCTCTCTGGCGATTTCCAGGGCCTTAACCTGGATGACAGCTCTGGTAATGGGCATTCCCTCACTTCTTTTTTCCCTGACATATTCAAAAACCCTCCGGTCAACCTCAATGAAACGACCACTTTGAGGACCACGGAAGGATTTTCGCTGACTGTTAGCATCTTTTAGACGTTGTTTTTCTGCTCGCCATCTTCTTACATTACACTCAGTGACCCCGAATGTCTTGGCAGCTTGGCAGTTGTTAGATGACTCTGCCTTATTGACAACCATTATTTTGAAATTGGCATCATAGCTCCTCCGCTGTTGTTTATTGACCTGGCCCACTTTGAGCCACTTGTCTCTAAATGGTCAGCCTGTCTTTCCATCTTTAAACACCGGTAACGGGCTGGTTGTTAAGGACGCCTCTTCCCTCCGTCCGGAACGAATTTTTGGCGCCATCTGTTGCCCGCGAATGTGTATTGACATTTAAAGGGAGCGCCGAAGAAGAGAAACTGCGCTCTGAATACTAGACCCCGAATATAAGACGACCCGACTTTTTTGGACCTATTTCGAGGGGAAAAAAGGCCCTTTTCGGCCGGCGTTAGCTTCTATGGAGTACAGCATGTTCCTCCCCGGCCCAACCCCCTGGCTTACGAAGCTGCTTTCAACATTAAACGATCAACTCTGACCCTATACGGTAACTAACTTGATATATAGTAGTTAATTAGCAACTTCACCAACGATAACATACTAGTTTGCTAACGACGGCTAGCTAATTTAATTTAGTTCATGGTCCACTGACAACTCGGCTAGCTAGCTTGCTAAATAAAAACAAGTCGGTAACGTTATTTGCAGACAACACCAACAGAATGGGACAACCGTGGCTTGCACAATGGAGACAAACTAGCTAGCTAGTAGCGTTGCTGTGAATTTCGACGTCAATACAATATTGACATTTATAATAATAAATAATATTTGTATTGTCGCAAAGTTAGACATTTGCTAGTTTAGTAATTTTATGCTATGTTTCTGGCAATGTAGCTAGTTAGCTAATCAAGTTGCATTACTGAGAGTCAAATCATATTTTATTGGTCGCATACACATATTTAGCAGATGTTATTACGGGTGTAGCGAAACGCTTGTGTTCCTAGCTCCAACAGTGCAGTAATATCAAATAATACATCGCACGGGGGGCCAGTATGAAAAATGTATGCACTCACTAATTGTAAATCGCTCTTGATAAGAGAGTCTGCTAAATGACTAAAATGTCAATTGGATCACTAAAAAAATATAAGTAAATAATATATACACTACCGGTCAAAAGTTTTAGAACACCTACTCATTCAAGGGTTTTTCTTTATTTTTTAAAACTATTTTCTACATTGTAGAATAATAGTGAAGACATCAAAACTATGAAATAACACATATGGAATCAGGTAGTAAACAAAACTGTTAAGCAAATCAAAATATATTTGAGATTCTTCAAAGTAGCCACTCTTTGCCTTGATGACAGCTTTGCACACTCTTGGCATTCTCTCAATAAGCATCATGAGGTAGTCACCTGGAATGCATTTCAATGAACAGGTGTGCCTTCATAAAAGTTAATTTGTGGAATTTATTTCCTTCTTAATGCGTTTGAGCCTATCAATTGTGTTGTGACAAGGTAGGGGTGGTATACAGAAGATATCCTTATTTGGTAAAAGACCAAGTCCATATTATGGCAAGAACAGCTCAAATAAGCAAAGAGAAACGACAGTCCATCATTACTTTAAGACATGAAGGTCAGTCAATCCGGAACATTTCAAGAACTTTGAAAATTCTTCAAGTGTAGTTGCAAAAACCATCAAGTGCTATGATGAACTGGCTCTCATGAGGACCGCAACAGGAAAGGAAGACCCAGAGTTAACTCTTCTGCAGAGGATAAGTTAGTTAACTGCACCTCAGACTGCAGCCCAAATAAATGCTTCACAGAGTTCAAGTAACAGACACATCTCAACATCAACTGTTCAGAGGAGACTTTATGGTCGTATTGCTGCAAAGAAACCACTACTAAAGGACACCAATAAGAAGAAGAGACTTGCTTGGGCCGAGAAACACGAGCAATGGACATTAGACCAGTGGGAATCTGTCCTTTTGGTCTGAGTCCAAATTTGAGATTTTTAGTTCCAACCGCTGTCTTTCTGAGATGCAGAGTAGGTGAACGGATGATCTCCGCATGTGTTGTTCCCACCATGAAGCGTGGAGGTGCTTTGCTGGTGACACTGTCAGTGATTTATTTAGAATTCAAGGCACACTTAGCCAGCATGGCTACCACAGCATTCTGCAGCGATACACCATCCCATCTGGTTTGGGCTTAGTGGGACTATCATTTGTTTTTCAACAGGACAATGACCCAACACACCTCCAGGCTGTGTAAGGGCTATTTTATGAAGAAGGGGAGTGATGGAGTACTGCATCAGATGACCTGGCCTCCACAATCACCTGACCTCAACCCAATTGAGAGTGAAGGAAAAGCAGCCAACAAGTGCTCAGCATATGTGGGAACTCCTTCAAGACTGTTGGAAAAGCATTCCAGGTGAAGCTGGTTGAGAGAATGCCAAGAGTGTGCAAAGCTCTCTTCAAGGCAAGGGTGGCTACTTTGAAGAATCTCAAATATAAAATATATTTTGATTTGTTTAACACTTATTTGGTTACTACATGATTCCATGTGTTATTTCATAGTTTTGATGTCTTCACTATTATTCTACAATGTAAAAAATAAAGAAAAACCTTTGAATAAGTAGGTGTATCCAAACTTTTGACTGGCACTGTGTATATACACACAGTGCATTCGGAAAGTGTTCAGTCCCCTTGACCTTTTCCACATTTTGTTAGGTAAATTGTTTCCCCCCCTCAATCTACACACAATACCCCATGACAAGCAAAAACGGGTTTAAAAGTTTAGCAAATTCATACAAAATAAAACGGAAATATCACATTTACATAAGTATTCAGACCCTTTACTCAGTACTTTGAAGCACCTTTGGCAGCGATTACAGCCTTGAGTCTTGGGTATGACGCTACAAGCTTGGCACACCTGTATTTGGGGAGTTTCTCCCATTCTTCTCTGCAGATCCTCTCAAGCTCTGTCAGGTTGGATGTGGAGCGTCGCTGCACAGCTATTTTCAGGTCTCTCCAGAGATGTGCCATGTTTCCTGCAGACGTGGCTTTGCATTCAGGCCAAAGTGTTCAATCTTGGTTTCATCAGACCAGATAATCTTGTTTCTGAGGGTCCTTTAGGTGCCTTTTGACAAACTCCAAGCGGGCTGTCATTTGCCTTTTACTTAGGAGTGGCTTCCGTCTGGCCACTACCATAAAGGCCTGATTGGTGGAGTGCTTCAGAGATGGTTGTCCTTCTAGAAGCTTCTGGGCCTCTGTCAGAGTGACCATTGGGTTCTTGGTCACCTCCCTGACCAAGGCCCTTCTCCCCCGATTGCTCAGTTTTGGCCGGGCGGCCAGCTCTAGGAAGAGTCTTGGTGGTTCCAAACTGTGTTCTTGGGGACCTTCAATGCTGCAGACATTTTTTGGTACACTTCCCCAGATCTCTGCCGCGACACAATCCTGTCTCGGAGCTCTACGGACAATTCCTTTGGCCTCATGGTTTGGTTTTTGCTCTGACATCTACTGTCAACTGTGGGACCTTATATAGACAGGTGTGTGCCTTTCCAAATAATGTCCAATCAATTGAATTTAATACAGGTGGACTCCAATCAAGTTGTAGAAACATCTCAAGTATGATCAATGGAAACAGGATGCACCTGAGCTCAATTTCAAGTTAGGGTCTGAATACCTATGTAAATAAGTATTTAATTATTATTTTTATACATTCGCTAACATTTCTAGACCTGTTTTCGCTTCGTCATTATGGGGTATTGTGTGTAGATTGATGAGAAAATTAATTTAATCAATTTTAGAATAAGGCTGTAATGTAACGAAGTGGAAAAAGTCAAGTGGTCTGAATACTTTCCGAATGCACGGTGTGTGTATGTATGTATGTATAATGGCTCAAATGGTTACCGCCAAAAATATTAAGATTGGCATTATTACCAAAGCAAAGGTCACTAGCTACTAATCTTGTTCATCAGCGAGATTAGGCTAATCAATGTTTGAAGAAGCATGTTTGATAGAAGATCCATGTTGCATTCCCCAACCAGTTTGCAAGCAACATTTTTGGCAGTCCCGACATAGACAAGGTTTTGGGTTTTGTGGCTTCTGTATTTCCCAAAGTTAATCAACTGTTGGCTTACTAATGACGTGGCTTATCGTTTCTCCCTTCCCTTGCAGACCTGTAAATACTATCTCTGCGGATTCTGCCCTGCAGAATTATTCACAAATACCAGGTCTGACTTGGGTCCCTGTGAAAAAATCCATGATGAAAACCTTAGGAAAATGTAAGTCGCACACTGTATAAACGCCCAGTAATTGGGTAAACCACCAACGTTTCGGCATCACTGTGCCTTCTTCAGGGTAATGTCATGAATGCTTGAACCAGGTTATGTAGACAAATCAGTGCAATTAGTGCAACCAATGACCACAGTGAGGGGTGTGTCATAATTATTAGGTTGATTTAGAATGAATTGAGTAAAACTGTTAAGACAATAGTTTACAGCATATTGAATATATTAGGCTATTGTTATCCATTAGCATCAACAAACATTGTGTTATTTAATTTCACATTTTAATTGTTTCCAATTTCATTACATTTTTGTTACATATAATCTTTTGGTTCAACCATAATGCATCATCAACAGGGGGAACATATTGGGTATGCGGATAAGCTGTAGAAAGAATATAGTCATAAGACTTGTTCATAGAAAACAGTTAGTCAGCACCTCTACTCTAAATATTTTTCTCTGGGTGTGAGCCAGCTCATGCTTTTGTGTGTTATAATTAAGCAATAAGGCCTGAGGGGGTGTGGTATATGGCCAATATACCACGGCTTCTTCTGCACAACGCGGAGTGCCTGGATACAGCCCTTAGCCATGGTATATTGGCCATATACCACACCCCCTCAGGCCTTATTAATATTATAAACTGGTTACCAATGTAATTAGAAAAGTAAACAGATAATTTTGCATTATACCCATGGTATATTTAAGCAATAAGGCCTGGGGAGATGTGGTATATGGCCAATATACCACGGATAAGGGCTGTTCTTCTGCACTACACAACGCGGAGTGCCTGGATACAGCCCATAGCTGTGGTATATTAGCCATATACCACAATCCCCCAAGATGCCTTATTGCTATTATAAACTGGTTACCAACATAATTTCAGCAGTAAAAATAATTTTTGTCATACCCATGGTATATTGTCTAATATTCCACGGCTTTCAGCCAATCGGCATCCAGGACCCAAATGACCCGGTTCTATACCGTTATTGGCGAAATAAGCGACCTGATTATAAGACGACCACCCCCGTTTTCAACACAAACAGTTAAAAAACAGATTGCAGGAACTAGATTTGCCGAAAAAGAAACTTCATTTATTTTAAAAATAACAATAGTAAAAACACAGTGAATAAACACAAAGCAAACTATGTACAGTATGATTTCAAAATGAATATCAAGCCATAATTAAGAACATTTTTAAATAACAGAGAGAAAATACAGCCACACATTTAACTAACTTAACAAAAATTCGCCAACTTCTCCTCCGATGTCTCTCACCCTCACAACGTCCTCTGCCCGCTGTGTTCGCTAGCGCTGTCAAGATCACCAGCTGCTCCGCTTCCACCGGCTCCTCCCAAAGCACGTCGTCCGGGTAGGAGTGCTTCTTCCTCAGGTTGATAACAAAGCGCTGAAACGAAAGCAGCTTCTCTCCGAAGTCTGACGGCAGGCGTTGGGCCAAACTCGTTCTCCGTCTAAGTGATAGTCCATTACGCCGCATCATCCTACGACACCAGCCGAGGCTGGCTTTAAATCCAGTGATGTTGAGCTCTCTGGCGATTTCCAGGGCCTTAACCTGGATGACAGCTCTGGTAATGGGCATTCCCTCACTTCTTTTTTCCCTGACATATTCAAAAACCCTCCGGTCAACCTCAATGAAACGACCACTTTGAGGACCACGGAAGGATTTTCGCTGACTGTTAGCATCTTTTAGACGTTGTTTTTCTGCTCGCCATCTTCTTACATTACACTCAGTGACCCCGAATGTCTTGGCAGCTTGGCAGTTGTTAGATGACTCTGCCTTATTGACAACCATTATTTTGAAATTGGCATCATAGCTCCCGCTGTGTTATTGACTCCACTTTGAACCATGTCTTAAATGGTCAGCTGCTTCATCTAAACACGGTAATGGTTGTTAGGACGCTCTCCCCCGTCCGACGAATTTTGCGCCATCGTGCCCGCGAATGGTATAATTAAAGGAGCGCGATAATAATAGCCCGAATAAGACGCCCGATTTTGGACTATTCGAGGGGAAAAAGGCATATCGGTGTAATAATGTATTTCATATAAGCTATTAGGTAATTAACCTAATATCACATGTGTATATAGCATATAACATGGAATAACAGGTGTATAACTCCCTTTTCATCCCTATGTGCTCCAGGTATGAGAAGAGCTCCCGGTTCATGAAGGAGGGCTATGAGAGGGACTTCCTGCGCTACCTGCAGTCTCTCCTGGCCGAGGTGGAGAGGAGGATCCGTAGGGGCCACGCCCGTCTGGCTCTGTCACAGGCCCAGCAGGCCGCAGGAGTAAGAATACATATAGATATACTTAGTCAATGCCCATAGGTTTGCCACTATAGAGAACACAGAACTCAACATGGAAACCTAGGACAACCCTTGTAGTCGGTTTGTCATGTTCATCAATGTTAGCTTTATGCTGACTGGACCTTCTCTTTCTGCAGCAGGGGCCTGGTGGTCCTGTGGGGAAGAACGAGGAGAAAGCTACAGTCCTGACAGAGAAGATTGAGGACCTAGTCATGCAGGTGAGCTGCCTGGGTTTACCAAAACATTACATTCCACCGTGGAGCACAATTACATGGATCCTACATGCATCCATCATATGAAGGCCTACATTCATTCAGGACACATACTCTGGAGTAAGTTGTTTTCTCTGTAAACAAAGTATGTGCTGTGTTCAGATCGAGGAGTTGGGCTCTGAGGGCAGAGTGGAGGAGGCCCAGGGGATGATGAAACTGGTGGAACAGTTAAAGGACGAGAGAGAGCTGCTCAGCTCCACCCCCTCGGTGAGTTACTCCCGGTTCCTTTTCACTCCGTCAGCATTGAGATCAACTCTGTTATCTATTTAGTAAGCCTTTTGTATGAATTCAATACCCTGGACTAAACCTGGGGATGAATACCTTTTTGGTTGAAGGTGCTGTACTTGTAAAACTAAAAGTCATCCTGATTGATTCCAGACGATTGAGACCTTTGCGGCCCAGGAGAAACAGATGGAGGTGTGTGAGGTGTGCGGGGCGTTCCTCATTGTGGGAGACGCCCAGTCCCGGGTGGACGACCACCTGATGGGCAAGCAGCACATGGGCTACGCCAAGATCAAGTCCACCGTGGAGGAGCTCAAGGTAAGTCCTTAGGTTTGAAGGATTGTTCACTCCGAAGTCAATGTTTGATTGACTCAAAAGTGTGTATTGTCAAGATTCCATATATGCCATTTGTTTTACTGTATGGCTTAAAACCCATCATTTTGACTGTTACTGATTTGAAAGACCAGTATGTTGCTGATGCAGAAAAACAAATTCAGTCATGTAATTGAATTGTTGGTGATAAGTCATGTATGAATGATTTTCTGTTCAGGAGAAATTACATCGGCGATCCGAAGACCCAGCGGGAGAAGAAAAGGGAGAGCTAGAAAGCAAGGACTGGGAGCGTGAGAGGGAGGAGAGGGAGTCTAAGCGCAAGTTGGAGGAGGAGGAGAAAGAAAAGGAGAAGGAGAAAGAGCGCGAGAAGGAGAAGGAGAAAGAGAGGGAGCGAGTGAAGGAGCGGGAGCGAGAGAGGGAGAAGAGAGGGAGGAGGAGCCACTCGAACAGCCGCCACTCCAGCCGAGCGTCGGACCGTAAGAGGAGTCGGTCCCGGGAACGCCGGCGGTCCAGGAGCAAGGAGAAGGAGCGCAAACGCAGCAGGTACTGTACTGTATGGAATGTAGACTAGAACAGTATGGAACGTAGACTAGAACAGTATGGAACGTAGACTAGAACAGTATGGCACGTAGACTAGAACAGTATGGAACGTAGACTAGAACAGTATGGAACGTAGACTAGAACAGTATGGCACGTAGACTAGAACAGTATGGAACGTAGACTAGAACAGTATGGAACGTAGACTAGAACAGTATGGAACGTAGACTAGAACAGTATGGCACGTAGACTAGAACAGTATGGCACGTAGACTAGAACAGTATGGCACGTAGACTAGAACAGTATGGAACGTAGACTAGAACAGTATGGAACGTAGACTAGAACAGTATGGAACATAGACTAGAACAGTATGGCACGTAGACTAGAACAGTATGGAACGTAGACTAGAACAGTATGGAACGTAGACTAGAACAGTATGGAACGTAGACTAGTCTTATGGCTGATTCACACTATAGTCCCAACCCCCAACTGTACTGTGCTGGCTCGTACATTTTCCTTTCAAATGGTCTTTTCCAGCACGGTCCCAGCAAGTATGGTTGATGCTTAACCCATAAGAGTCTAAGCCGGGGGGGTCTACTAAGCTATATGGAATTGTGTTAAGAAGGTCATACCAAGGATCAGTTTGCTATTTGATTTTTAAGACCCCTTGAAGTATCAAACTTTTTTTTATTAAAAACATATTTGATGAATTGTTTTTGGCCCTTACTGCTAATAGCCCATACAAACACATTGAATAACAGATTCACTACATGGAACAACAAATAGTCCCAAAAAACCATCTAAAATAAGTTTGTTCTGAAGTGTCTGTCCTACATCTGAGAGATATAAGAAAGATCAGGGGATATATATATATATATACAGTGGGGAGAACAAGTATGTGATACACTGCCGATTTTGCAGGTTTTCCTACTTACAAAGCATGTAGAGGTATGTAGTTTTTATCATAGGTACACTTCAACTGTGAGAGACGGAATCTAAAACAAAAATCCAGAAAATCACATTGTATGATTTTTAAGTAATTAATTTGCATTTTATTGCATGACATAAGTATTTGATACATCAGAAAAGCAGAACTTAATATTTGGTACAGAAACCTTTGTTTGCAATTACAGAGATCATACGTTTCCTGTAGGTCTTGACCAGGTTTGCACACACTGCAGCAGGGATTTTGGCCCACTCCTCCATACAAACCTTCTCCAGATCCTTCAGGTTTCGGGGCTGTCGCTGGGCAATACGGACTTTCAGCTTCCTCCAAAGATTTTCTATTGGGTTCAGGTCTGGAGACTGGCTAGGCCACTCCAGGACCTTGATATGCTTCTTACAGAGCCACTCCTTAGTTGCCCTGGCTGTGTGTTTCGGGTCGTTGTCATGATGGAAGACCCAGCCACGACCCATCTTCAATGCTCTTATTGAGGGAAGGAGGTTATTGGTCAAGATCTCGCGATACATGGCGCCATCCATCCTCCCCTCAATACGGTGCAGTCGTCCTGTCCCCTTTGCAGAAAAGCATCCCCAAAGAATGATGTTTCCACCTCCATGCTTCACGGTTGGGATGGTGTTCTTGGGGTTGTACTCATCCTTCTTCTTCCTCCAAACACGGTGAGTGGAGTTTAGACCAAAAAGCTCTATTTTTGTCTCATCAGACCACATGACCTTCTCCCATTCCTCCTCTGGATCATCCAGATGGTCATTGGCAAACTTCAGACGGGCCTGGACATGCGCTGGCTTGAGCAGGGGGACCTTGCGTGCGCTGCAGGATTTTAATCCATGACGGCGTAGTGTGTTACTAATGGTTTTCTTTGAGACTGTGGTCCCAGCTCTCTTCAGGTCATTGACCAGGTCCTGCCGTGTAGTTCTGGGCTGATCCCTCACCTTCCTCATGATCATTGATGCCCCATGAGGTGAGATCTTGCATGGAGTCCCCAGACCGAGGGTGATTGACCGTCATCTTGAACTTCTTCCATTTTCTAATAATTGCGCCAACAGTTGTTGCCTTCTCACCAAGCTGCTTGCCTATTGTCCTGTAGCCCATCCCAGCCTTGTGCAGGTCTACAATTTTATCCCTGATGTCCTTACACAGCTCTCTGGTCTTGGCCATTGTGGAGAGGTTGGAGTCTGTTTGATTGAGTGTGTGGACAGGTGTCTTTTATACAGGTAACGAGTTCAAACAGGTGCAGTTAATACAGGTAATTGGTGGAGAACAGGAGGGCTTCTTAAAGAAAAACGAACAGGTCTGTGAGAGCCGGAATTCTTACTGCTTGGTAGGTGATCAAATACTTATGTCATGCAATAAAATGCAAATTAATTACTTAAAAATCATTCAATGTGATTTTCTGGATTTTTGTTTTAGATTCCGACTCTCAGACCTCTATATGCTTTGTAATTAGGAAAACCTGCAAAATCGGCAGTGTATCAAATACTTGTTATCCCCACTGTGTGTGTGTGTGTATATATATATATATATATATATATATATATAAATAAATAAATAAATAATAATATGCCATTTAGCAGACGCTTTTATCCAAAGCGACTTACAGTCATGCGTGCATAATTTTTTTTGTGTATGGGTGGTCCCGGGGATCGAACCCACTACCTTGGCGTTACAAGCGCCGTGCTCTACCAGCTGAGCTACATATATATATATATATATATATATATTTTTAATTGTATTTAAACCTTATCTTTGTTAAGTGGCAGTCTTCATATATACTTCCATTAATTTTTTCAACTGGTACCGGTGGTCCTTCAGACGAGTCTTGTGAGGCCTGTGGGCGTCCTAGAGCAAAACAACTGACATGTTCGTGAGAGTCTCACCTTTACATATTAGTGTGTAGCCCAAACTGTTCGGACGTGACAGACCGAAGTTGGCAGATCGGCTGTACCGACTTCAGACGAGTCCCAATACGCTTGTGGTGATCGTGCGAATCTCATCTTTCCATAGAGGGTTCACAATAGTTTGTAGGACAAACCGTTCGGACGCAACAGACGATTTTGTGAGAAGACCGATTTTCGGGATGTCTCATGGTCTGACAAACACCGCTCTAGCTCTGTCACCTTTCACCGCGGATGCAGTGGATTGAGACGCATCCAATGCAAAAAACATATCTCTAGCTAAAACTGACATATTTTTATGGAGGGGCTCGGACATCGACCTTAGGGGGTTAACCAGCCCAGTCCAGCTCTGCCTGGCCCTATAATGTTAATCAGGGATCACAGTTCATTTGTTCGTGAAAAACTCTCACTCGTTGAATGTTCCACTGCTCTGCTCTTGAGTGTGTCGTGGATGAACATGTTCCTGTGTTTTTCCAAAGGAGCCGGGACAGGGACCGGGAGAGGCGGCGCAGCCGGGAGCGTTCGGACAGGAAACGGCGCTCCCGCAGCCGGGAGAGGAAGAGGTCCCGCAGCTCGGAGCGCAAGTCTCACCGCCACCGGAGCCGCAGCCGGGAAAAGGACAGGACGTCCAGAGACAAAGGTGAGACATGGGACAAGTTTCCTGCAGCAATAGCAGCGGGTTTTCTGAATCTAAAAGGGGCTTAAGTGGTGGGCGTGGTCCGTCCGTCGGCGTGGCTGAATTTTTGGAGAACATTTTAGAGGCGGTGTAGAGAAATGTTTGCATTTTTTTGCAGTTTTACACATTTCTCCATTGAGCTGAGAAAACATGTTTCCGTTTTAAAGCGAATTTCCTGCAATTCTATGCATTTTGCCATTGCTAATGCTGTGTTCTTTTACTGAAACATAAAAAAATCAATACTACTAAATTCCGTTTTGGGGGAATTTTCATTTCTCCCCGACTGTCTAGCTTTTATTTAGGTGATTATTAGATCTCAAAGATTATAAAAAAATATATATCCATTATTTATTCTACATACTTTATCTGGTTTGTCGTTTTAAGTTTACACTGAAAGCGGTTTTCGATCCCTAAAATTTATAAAATAAAGAAACATTATATATACTTTTCTACACTGTTTGGACTTAGGTGGCCTGAAAAAAATCCCTGAATAGACCTTATACCCATGTTTGGTTTAGTGACTCACACATGTGATTGATGCAACAACATTTGGACCATAAATGATCCCTACCGAATTCACAAGTGTGTCCCATTCTAGAAGTCTTTGTCATGACTTGATGTTTCATACCTCCCTCCCAGAGCGTAAGGAGCCGGAGGAGAGGAGGAGCAGCTCCAAGAAGGACGAGGTCTTAGATGATGACAAGCCTTCCTCTGACGTGGCCAAGGCTGAGCCCATGGAGGCTGAGGCTCCTGCTCCTGCCTCCACTCTGGGCCTGGCCCTTCTGGCCAGGGTCAACGGGGCTGCGCAAGACGACCTCCATTCTGAAGGTGACACTCAGTCCAATTAAAACTGATCTGATAGGACCTCAGATCAGGCTCAGGTAAGTGCGCCCTCCCCCGCCACCCTGGCTCTCAAAACACACACCCCTCCCCCATCTTCCCTCTCAAACCTCCCTCTCCTGTTCTCCTCTCCCTCCGTTTACTTTCAGTTCTATTGCCTTTGATTTGTATGTTGTATCTTTATCCTGTTGTTTTGGATATAGTGCATCGTAAGTATGCACTGAAGCTGGAACTAGACCGATGATGAGAGAAGAAGGTAGAAACAGAGGTCACAAAGCCCAGAGGGAAAGACCAGTGTAGCCCTGAAAAACATACCTGGAGGTACCCCTCGTTTTGTATCGGTTATATATATGCATACATATTATTATATATCTCTATTTTGTCTTTTGGACAAAATCTCTTCCAAATTTAAATCCAAGCATTTTTTTCTGCCTGTATTGCCTATTGTATATATTTTTCTCTTCAGTGATGGTGGCAGTAACCATATGTCTTACCTTTTCATTTGTCTACTTGCGTAGCCTATATTGAACGTTTTAAAGTGACTGTCTATATATGTGGACATGTATCCACACATAAACACACAGCATTTTACAGATACTTTAAAAGTAAAGTGAAGCTATATATGAAAGAATCCGTATTATTTCTTTGACCTACTGAATGCACAGTCTAAAACCCTTTTTTCTCCCACTGCCATGGATATTGTGTTCTATATACAGCTCTCTGTTCTTTGATATGCATTGCATTGTAACACAGTGTGTTGGTTAGCATTGGGCTGATGGAAGGGTAGGGGTTAATGAATGATTGCAGCTGACTTCCATACCTCACACAGCGTTGGTGTTGAGTGAGTGAGCGACCTCATGAAAGAAAAAGGCAAATTAATAAACCCTCAAGGATCAAACTGTCAAACTATACAGGTACTCACCCAGGTACTCCTTTCTCTACCCACATCAATTTCTACTGAATGCTGTTGCCTGTGAGCCTACTGCTCTTTATTATGACTAAAGCTTGATGTGTATTGTTTTTGTTTCTCCTTTGTTTATTTTTATTAGTCTTTTAAAAGTGTTTTTGTGCAGTATTTATTATCAGGAAGTGATAATGATGATAAGGGGTACAGGTCAACTTGTTTGATATCCCCCAGCTGTCTAGTTTAATTAGATGTGATACTTATTACTGAACCTGCCTTTCAAGACTTCATTGACTTTGAAAGTGTACCAATTTATATTATTTACATGCTGTTGATTGAAAACACTTAATTTTGACCCATGTTTGATATCGATGGTTATATCGATCGTCCAACTAACATTCCTCAGTTTAGGTTTGTCTACCGTTCACTTTATGGTAAAGGGGATATCAAGCAGGTTCCATAATCTCAAAATAGGATGGTTAAAACTTTAAAGTAGGGTTCTATTGCCTTATACTGTTTCCCAAACCGAGTGTGAAGAGCAGGGCGGCCATCATCATCCAATGTCCACTAACATTAAAGAGCTGTTGGAGAAACGTCCACAAAATGCCAGGATGTTTCCTGCACCAGAAATGCAATTTAGTTTTCCCAACGTTTGCTAGTGTTAGTTTTAGTCTATTTTCCAGTTCGTTAGTTTACAGTTACCATTCCTCTATGTGACCTGTTTGTAGGGGGATTTCTATGAATGAGAAGGATGTATAGTTGATAGCAGCTAGTGGCTGCTACAAGCTTTGTTACCAGGATCTTTGCTAATGTGTCACCTCTTTGGCCGTTTGTGCACCCCAGGGGACGCTGGGAAATCTGGAGGAGGAAGATCTGAAGACCACCTGTCGCTCCACTGAACCTGTCTCTGCGCTGCTTAAAACAAGGTGAACCACAGATGTAGTGGCTTATTAAAAAAACAGTGACATCTAAATCACAGCAAAAGACAAACGTGTGTAAAGTTTCCCTCTGTTGTACTCTTATTTTTCTGGGAAGATCACAGTTTTAGCGCAGGACCAGACAGTCTTCATTCAGTTTGTTGTATTTCTTTCATTCATCATTTCTGATATAAAGGACCTTGTCTAGTAGCTGCTGAGGTAGAATGGTAAATTAAGGCTTTTATCTATACATGTTATCTTCTGTTTCTCTTGCAGTTTTTGTGACAAATAAAAACCGTGCTTGTTTTGGTTTAATGTCAGGTTTCCACTCTCAGTTTTACTTTTTTGGGAAAATCAGTTGGAAAATCGGTTCGAGAAGTGTTTGTACAATGTTAGTCAAGGGCGTCTCTCTCCTCTCTTTTTCTCTCGTCTCTCTCTCCTTCCTACCCACCAGATCTCACACCCACTGACTGATCTCTATCCCCTTACTGTAAAATATAGTGAGATTTAATTGAGCCTTTGTTTTTGTTTTGATTTTAAAACATGTATTCATCTTGATCAATAAAAAGAAAGCTTGAACGATGTCTGTGGATTTGGTTGACTCTCTTGTGTTAGGAGTGCTGATCTAGGATCAGTTTTGCCTTTTTAATCATAAATAAGAGGTTGGAACTGATCCCAACAGATCAGTATTTCTACTCTGAGAAGCTTTGTGAATACAGACCCCTGCTCATTAGAATCTACTTCAGAGGATGCGCCGCACTGGCTCTGTATTTTCATTAATCAACAGTAGCCGACTCTCACTCCATCTGTCTCTCACTTGCTCTCACACTCTTTGGGGCGGCAGGTAGCCTAGTGGTTAAGCAATTGACTAGGTATTCCCTTTCTACCATCCAGCATCAGAATATGAGCTAGATAACTGAGGGAGTTTGGTCTGATTATGGTCCTAATATGGATGCCGTACCAGCCTCTCGCTCTTCCCTGGATCACACTTTAGGGCCGACCTGAACCCTATTGTGCAGGCTCAGATTGTCTTTTCACACTGTCCTTTCTAGCACTGTTCCAGCAACTATGGTGAATGTGTAGCCAGGCCAGCCCAGTAGTCTACAGTTTGGCTTGTCTCAGTCTGGCCTTTTTATTAGTGTGATTTAGGCTTTTCCGTCTCAGAACTGACCTTTTCAACCCAGCAGGCACTTGGACAACGCAGCAGGTGTTTCCAGACCTCATCAGAGCAGTATAATTAAGGGTGGTGGGGTCAGTGTACAGGCTGGTTTGTGACTGCCTCCCGTGGCTGGTCTGAGCACTGGAGCCCAGCCAAATGCTTAAGGATTAGTGCCAAGGTCTACTAAGTGATTGTACTGGGTATAAACTGCACCTGCCTCTTCCAGAGGGGAATTGAGTCCAGGGCTTGGAGTTTTCCCAGGCCGGGTCTCGTGGTCAGGAGGAACGTCTTAGCCCGACTGATGATAAATCGTGATTAGGGCCAAAAGGTTTCCCTAACCAAGTGACTTGCAGGCCATAATGTTTTTATTAAAACATTCAAAACCGTACCTAATAACACTATCATTAAACACCGACAGCAATAATTTTATCACAGAGACAAGGGCCGGAATCCAATATATATATATACATACATACAGTTGAAGTCGGAAGTTTACGTACACTTAGTTTGGAGTAATTAAAACTTGTTTTTCAAACACTCCACATATTTCTTGTTAACAAACTATAGTTTTGGCAAGTCGGTTAGGACATCTACTTTGTGCATGACACAAGTAATTTTTCCAACAATTGTTTACAGACAGATTATTTCACTTATAATTCACTGTATCACAATTCCAGTGGGTCAGAAGTTTACATACACTAAGTTGACTGTGCCTTTAAACTGCTTGGAGAATTCCAGAAAATGATGTCATGGCTTTAGAAGCTTCTGATAGGCTAATTGACATCATTTGAGTCAATTGGAGGTGTCCCTGTGGATGTATTTCAAGGCCTACCTTCAAACTCAGTGCCTCTTTGCTTGACATCATTGGAAAATCAAAACAAATCAGCCAAGACCTCAGAAAAAAAATGGTAGACCTCCACAAGTCTGGTTCATCCTTGGGATGAGGTACCACGTTCATCTGTACCACGTTCATCTGTACAAACAATAGTACGCAAGTATAAACACCATGGGACCACGCAGCCGTCATACCACTCAGGAAGGGGACGCGTTCCGTCTCCTAGAGATGAACGTACTTTGGTGCGTAAAGTGCAAATCAATCCCAGAACAACGGCAAAGGACCTTGTGAAGATGCTGGAGGAAACAGGTACAAAAGTATATATCCACAGTAAAACAAGTCCTATATCGACATAACCTGAAAGGCCGCTCAGCAAGGAAGAAGCCACTGCTCCAAAACCGCCATAAAAAAGCCAGACTACGGTTTGCAACTGCACATGGGGACAAAGATTGTACTTTTTGGAAAATGTCCTCTGGTCTGATGAAACAAAAATAGAACTGTTTGGCCATAATGACCATCGTTATGTTTAGAGGAAAAAGGGGGTACCTTGCAAGCCGCAGAACACCATCCCAACCGTGAAGCACGGGGGTGGCAGCATCATGCTGTGGGGGTGCTTTGCTGCAGGAGGGACTGGTGCACTTCACAAAATAGATGGCATCATGAGGAAGGAAAATTAGGTGAATATATATTGAAGCAACATCTCAAGACATCAGTCAGGAAGTTCAAGCTTGGTCGCAAATGGGTCTTCCAAATGGACAATGACCCCAAGCATACTTCCAAAGTTGTGGCAAAATGGCTTAAGGACAACAAAGTCAAGGTATTGGAGTGGTTATCACAAAGCCCTGACCTCAATCCTATAGAACATTTGTGGGCAGAACTGAAAAAGCGTGTGCGAGCAAGGAGGCCTACAAACCTGACTCAGTTACACCAGCTCTGTCAGGAGGAATGGGCCAAAATTCACCCAACTTATTGTGGGAAGCTTGTGGAATGCTACCCGAAACCTTTGACCCAAGTTAAACAATTTAAAGGCAATGCTACCAAATACTAATTGAGTATATGTAAACTTCTAACCCACTGGGAATGTGATGAATGAAATAAAAGCTTAAATAAATAATTCTCTCTACTATTATTCTGATATTTCACATTCTTAAAATAAACTGGTGATCCTAACTGACCTAAGACAGAATTTTACTAGGATTAAATGTCAGGAATTGTGGTAAACTGAGTTTAAATGTATTTGGCTAAGGTGTATGTAAACTTCCGACTTCAACCGTACATACACCAAGCCCCCCCCCCCACACACACACTTCGGAGGACACATCTTTTTTTATTTACAGCTTTTCTGCTACATATACATTCATTTTACACATACATTGTACATATACATTTGCCATATATTTTTCAATTGTGCTATGATGTTTTACATACA